AAATCATGGCGCACTGCAGTTCTACTCATTAATCTGTCCCATCTATTTGTCAGTCTATCCTCTCCCTCACCCATCTACCATGGCCTACAGAGGTCAGGACATCAATTAAGCATGGTTCTCATCAGTGGGAGGCTCATAGTCTAATTGAAGTTAGGACATCACACTGTGAGAAATGGAAGGTATAGTAAGCAGAGAGTGATACATCAGACTTAATTTTAATAAAGATCATGTATAAAAGGAGTAAGATTAACAGCAGAAAGTTAGGAAACTTTTGTAGTTGTCCAAACAGAAAACAATGAGTCATGTTTGTTTTGCTTTGTTTTTTAATCTATAGCAATACCATATAAGTGGATTCTAGAGAGACTCAGGAGGAGCACTAAGAAGAATAGGCAAGTGAATGAAGATGAGGGCGGGGGTAAGTCAAGACTGACGCTCAGGTTTGGCTGAGTGTATGGATGGTGGACGTTTAAGACAAGAAATAGGAGGAGGAAGTTTGTAGATATGTGAAATGTGAAGTCACTACAGGAAACCCGGGAAGGGACATGTGAGAAGAAGGTGGAAATTTTGAACTTAAAGTTCAGGAGAAAAGTTTACATGGAAATGGAGTCTGATCTACCTGGGATGTAGGCTATAGCTAACGCCAGAGAAATTAATCAGATAGCCAAAGGATGACATCGGGAAAATGGTGGGCTGTGTAGGAAAGTGTCAAGGAGAATGGTTAATAGTGCCAAGTCATAGAGAAAGGTCAAGTCAGGCAAGGCCTGAAATGTGATGACCAGTGGATTTGGCAATGACAAGGTAGAGTGGAAGAATCTCTAGCCTTCATTTAGCCTCTGGGTTACTGTGTCATTTTGAACAACTCATGCCTTTTCTCCAACTGACCACTCTCTTTATCTATAAACATGCCCAGTGCTGAGTGAAAATGCTCCATTTCTTTGGAATTGCCTTCCACCCCTATCCAACATTCACAACAACTTAAGCATTCCTACTAGCCACCATATTCTGGACAAGTGAACCCCTGACTCACAGTGAGCCAATCAGAATCTCTTTTTGTCTCTTGAGAATATAGTGAGACTATGTAGTTAGTGCTAAGCAATGGAGTTATAAAGTTCTATACAGTCGGGGTCAATCATTTCAAATCACCTATGATTTAATTTTATGGGAAAGCTGGATTATGTAAGCACTTGAGTTTGCCTTAAATCAATACTGTTCACTTGCTTTAAATTTGGCTGTTGGGTGATTTCCCCCAAAGTCAAGTTCTCCTAAAATGGTATCATACTCTCTTCCATACAAAAGCGCCATTCAAGTAAACTATGTGTGCAGCCCCTGAAACATCTTGTCCTTCCTTGTGCCCTCCGCTCTCATCCTACATTTCCCCAAAGACCATACCAGTCATGGAAAACTACATTGCTGACCTGCTACATCCAGTTCTTGGATGCCGAAACAAAGGACTGTGCAAAACTTCAGCCAATGTTGAGATTCTCTGCGGATGGGGACACGGCCCATGAAGTCTAGCTTGTCTGTGACCTCAAAATCCTACCTACCTTATCACACTCACATCAGCCCCACCAAGCTTAAACTCACACTCTATCCACGGTTACTACCTACACCAGTGCAGGAAGAGGTGAGTTTGTCCTAACTGCCAACCTTTAGAGGGCATGTTTGGGCATGTGGGAAAGAAGGCTGCCGATAGAGCTGTGACAGAGATTCCTCTTTACTCTGACAATAAGGCCCCTTTATTTATAAGGGCTCCCCAGCAAATGCTAAGCTAAAGGCCAAAAAGGGAAGGCTCCTGGCAGGTTCTTACCGCTTCATACCACGAGTTAACTGACTATAAGCATCCCATGCCATCGGTCTCTTCAAGTCTTGAGCAGAAGAGGACAGAAAGGGGAGAGACAGGGGATGAGAGTGAGGACAGATGCACAGCAGGAGAATGGGGGTCAACATAAGGACAAAAGGCAGAGAGAGAATCAAGACAGCAAGTTTCTTGGAATTTAAAACTCCAAGAAACAAATTTAGCCAGAGGTTCTAAAAACCTTCATCCTGCTTTATAATGAATGACATAACCAAGTTTAGAGAATGATGCTACCTTTTAATGAACGGTATCTGTATAAGTAAGCATTATCTATAACCTGCAGGGCACCAAAAGTCTCATTCTTATTTTATTTTATTTTCATGTTTTTATGACTCCATTTCCTCATCTTAAAATAAGAGGCCCTAGGACTGAAGGAGTCTAAATCTTCCTGCTCTGAGACAGGCACGATCCCCAGGTGTGCCTGAATTTCTTGCACTTCAAAACATTTAAATCTAAACACAGTTGGTAGTTACTAATTTAGCTAAATTGAACAGTGTTATTACTTTAAAAAAACAAAAACAAAACAACAAAAAAAGAACTATTAGAAAACCTCTCGCTTACCCAGAGAAAACCAAGCACAAGATTTTACTATGGTTAGGTGCTGTGCATTCAACACATCAGACATAGATCCTCACAGCTAAGTCATAGCCTGGAGTTAAGAACAAACTCAGGACATACAATATTATTCAACATCAGCTTCAGAAATACACCCGAAACTAATAATAAAAAAAAAAATTTAAAAAAAAAAAGAACCAACTCAGGAGCTGGACCACCTGGATTTGACTCTTCACTCTATTGATTAGGCAACTTAGAAAAGTTACTTATTTCTCTGTGCTTCAGTTTCTTATCTGCAAGATAAGAAAAGCAATAAAACCAACTTCTCAGAGCTTTCATGGGACAAAATGAGTTAATAGTGGTAAAGTACTTAGAATGCTACCTGGCACTTTATATGTATTTATTTTTTTTTAATTTTTTAATTAAAAAAAAAAAAACTTTGAAAGGCTGGGTGTTATTATTATCTCTATTTCAGAAGGGAAGAAACTAAGAGTTACACAGGTGAAGTAAGTGGGTCCAAAGTCACCTTGCAGTACATCGTGCAGCCACATTCGAATCAGAAGAGGCTCCAGAGCTGGTGGCTTCCCTGCCATCTCATGCTGTCTCCCTACACACAGCGACCCATTGAAGGACAGAGTACACTGAAACAATGACCTGGGAACAGGCGCTCGGAATATACCACTCTTGAACTTGGCTAGGCAGAATTCCCAACTGTTTTCTGTCGACTATTTTTTTTTACATAAAAGTTAGTGTCATTTTTGCATATCACTTCAAAGTTCGTTGCTCACAAACTTTCCTATCCAATATTTGCTCCATATTACAAAAACAACAACAAAAATACAGGTTAAGCCCATCCTTCTCAAAAAGAACTGGCTCTCATCATAACACCTTGGATTCAAATACTGAGTTTTTATTGTGCTCAGGCTCCGCACTAAAGCATCGACATTATTTCATTTGATCCTCACAAAAATCCTCTAATTTCCATTTTACGGATGAATAAAGGAAAGCTCAGGGTGTTTAAGTAACTTCCCAAGTTCATGTAGCTGACAAATAGCAGAGTGAGATTTTCGACCATCTCTGCTTGATTCTCCTACACTATTCACTTTAGAATGGAAGAACCATGCCGACTATGAGAAAGCTTTCTATTCCTCACAGACCGAAACTCATACAACAGGGCTGTGGGGTTTATAAAACTACATTAGCCTACCATGTGCAAATAACATGTTAAGAGTCCTCAAAGACACTAAAGGATGGGGCATGTAAAGATAGAACAACAAAACTTTAAGTGATCGATGGTATTCGGTAGACAAAGAATAACAATAATGCTATATTTCTTTTATATTTTACAACTTTGTAGGCTGTTTCTGGCCTTCAAAAATATTAATAGGTGATAATCTTGTCTCCTTGAGCAAGTTGCATAAGCACTCTGACCCTCGTCAGAAAAAATGGAAAGGGCTGTTCTTAGGACTGAATGAGTTCACGCAGGAAGGACTGAGCAGAGGTCCAGGCAGGGCAGGCACAGTGCAGATGCTCAACTAATGCCGGGATCTTTTTCCTTGCAGCTGCCCATCCCTGGCATCAAGAAAGGCTCATGGGGCCCTTGAAAAACATCTACTGAAGGAGCAAAGTGAGGGGAGTGTACTCTGATCTCAGTCCTCTAATAGGATTCACACCTTTTCTACAATTGCCTCTTTTCTGAAGTCAACTCTCAAACGAGCTATTATTCCCCGGTTCACTCTTCTTCATATTCTCCAAAATAATTCAATGTCCACCTTTTCCTTTGGGAAAATCAAAGGTTGACATGGCTACCTTTTGAACGCAAGCTGTTAAAGATCCCTTTCTTCTGTTCAAAAAGTTTCTCTGATTTTGAAAGGTCTTACTGATAAAACACAGAGAAACTCGGGGGAAAAGGACAAAGAGAAAGAAGAAGAAAGAGAAAGAATAAAGAGGCCAGAAAAGAAAGAGAAGGAAGAAAGCCCAAGAGGGCCGGAGAGAGGCAAAAGGCTACGGAATGCATAATTGCCGCCAGCCTGAGAAACCGGCTCATGTAACAATCATGGAGTATTATTTTTAAAAACCAAGGGGAACTATGTACACAATATCCAAAGAATATATGCTCTTTGTTGAATGCCGGAAAATGACAATGCATTCCATTCATTAATTCACGAATTAGTCTGTGTGATGCTGACTACTGGCATCATTAGTATTTGTGAGCCGAACATTTACGAGACTATGGGAGAAATTTACGAACTAAAGATAGAAATGAAGAATAACTTTTTTCTGTTTTGTTTTTGTTACCCCATTTGTCTGTTTTGTCTGTATTTGTACAGTATTGGTGAGATTTAGGAGTTAGGGTGAGTGAAATGGGTGACCTGAAACCTTCTGAGCCCCTCGAAACCCTCTGTCTGCCAGACAGATATGTAGAAAAGTCACATGAATTTCAACAGTTTCCTAACTGTGCTTCTAAATGATAGTTTCAAAAGCAGATATGTTACAGTAAATACATGATAAGAGTAAATTAGGCCTTAATTGTGTTTAGCAAGTTTTATGTCCTAATTAAAGGCAGAGTCACATAAGAAGCACGACTTACCAGCAGAATTAGCTCTGCCACAATTGTCTACTCTTCCCAAACATTCTTTGTGTGCTCTCGCGCCACACTTGAAACATAAATAGCCTTGATAAAACGTTCCTCTGCAAGGTAAAATGAGAGAGTGATACGTTAAAAGGTGCTGAATTCTGCCTTTATGAAACCGTTAGTGTGCGGAAGGAGAACACGGGAGCATAGTGCTATACCAAGTCCTCTCAGCAAAGGGAGGGGGCCTCCCTGGGGTGCTGGGGGACTGCCCGGTCCAGGTACAAGGTCAACACAAGCTCTGTGGGATCCAGGCTCTTAAGGCGATATCCCCTCTTCAGGACATTTTGACTGGGATGTTAGAAAAGTCTGAGACGCTTAGCAATTATCCCACACATGGAAAGACGGGCCCCAGCCAGCTTACCTCAGGAGCATCTGGCAGACGTTGCAGGACGTAACCCGGTTGAAGGTGTGCATCTTGAACTCATGAAAATTGGAGTCTGCGTAGTCAGGCCTTATGTTAGATCTATAAGAAGGGGGAAAGAAACTTCCTAAAGAAAGTTTCACAACAAAGGAGCAGTCTAGTCATCTAAAACATAAATCCATCAGCATACCATGGGGTAGAGACCTGATTCAAGCAAAAAGGCAGTTAAGGAGGCAATGTTTTCTAAAAGCCAAAAGTGTGCTTTGCATTAAAATAGGCATTAAAATCTGGTTGTGGCAGAGCCAGCAACACATGAGGATGTAAGCAATCCGATCCTTCTTAGGATTGAGTGATCCCAGGGGACTTTACAGGATGGCCACGTCAATCAACCTGCCAGGAAAAACACAAAACCCGCTGGATATTCATGCTGCATGGTCATTTCTTTCCTGTAGACATCACTGACATATAAACTAGCTGGAGAGGGTGGCAGGGAGGGGCGAGGGGGCTGCATTTCCACAAAGGCCATCCCTAAATAGGTATTTATATGGATGATTTACCAAAGTAAATAACATAATTTTATGAAAAATTTTCAAACAAAGCATCAGCCTGATCATCAAAAAAAATTCCTCCTTAACAAACAATTCACTTTCCTTGCAATCCAAATAAAAACTAGATTCTTTTATTATTTATTTTTTATATTGTATTTATGTTATACACAGATACAAAAACTATATTAAGCATACTGGAAACTGATATTCACGGTGCATTTACTTGGTGCAGATCCTGTGACAAGCACCTCTTGTTCGTTATCTCGTTTAACCTTCACACCAGTCCTGAGTTGGAGGCACTAACAGGGTCGCCTTCACAGACTGAGGCTTACCCTCAAGTAAGGGAAATGACAGAATCAAGAACTCCAACCCAGGTCTGTACTTTTCACCACTGGAGCCACAGGGCAAGGCAAAATTCACCTTAATGTCATTAGATTTTTGTGTCTAGTAGGGATCCTGGAAACAGGCAAGGTTAGCCATTTCTAATTCGTTCAATTATTCATAATTTATCCACGTCACAGAAGAAAGCATAAAAATTAGAAAGGAGTAAGTTAAAAACAGTTACAAATCACAGGTACACCTAGAAAGAGATGATGCTCTCTGAAATGTTACAAGTAATTTGAGAGATTACAGGAAAAGTTTGTGCTACTGATAAACTAGGATTTCCCCTTTTCTAGACTACGGCGACTCTCCACCACACAGAGCCTCGGCCTAATGAAGCATAACACAGGAGGCGACCAGGCATCAATCTCTGAGGGGCCAGGAGGAGCCTTATGAAAAAACATTTGCAAAGGCAATTGGAGTGGCAGGCAGTGATGCAGAAGTGTCAGCAAGGTCAGCCTTCCAATCCATCTGCTGAATATGAGCGTGCTAAAAATGAAATCAAATATGAGTGCCATCTGGGATTTCTCTGCTCTGCGCTTCTGGTGACCTCACTTTTTAGGAAAACATTCCCATGCATGCTGAAAAGCACGGCCATTTCTGTCGAGGTATCTCTGTGTGGCTGATTAAAATTACAGCGTTCTTCATGAAGGGAGGAGTACAGAAAAGACAAGAACCTGGAAACAAAACTCTCTGCACATTGTTCAGAAACATTTGATTATTGAGTCCATAAAGCCAGGCCTGAAAAGATCACTGGACCCCATTTCCTTAGCAAGGAAGGGCCGCTCAATTTTCTGTAAGCACCAAGGTGATAGTACAGTCATAGATGAATTGTCAAATAACAGTTTCAGTCCTGGGAACCTGAAGAATTCATCAGCCTGAAGTTTTAGAATATACGAGTAACTAGGTCTCCTTCAGTCAGAAACTCAGGTAAATGGGTCCCAAACAGGTAAGGATTTAATTAATTTTAGAAGCCTGCCTGGGACATAGGTGGAACACCTTTCTCTTAGGGTTAACTCAAATTGTGTATACACACACACACACACACACACACACACACACACACATATGTATGCTGCATATTCACATATACAAATATATGTACGAGTACAACTTGAATTGTATATATCAGAGTTGACTTTGGACCATTTGTATTTAACACTTTTACCAACTAACTAGGAATAAGCCGACTTTTCAGAAGACAAAAAGTTGAGCGGAGTCACACGAAGAGACTAAAAGGCATGTATTATAATAAAGAAAATAATTCTGAAAATATTGTTAGCGGTAGTTGCCATAAGGGAAACAAGGCTTGAAGTAGTAGGGTAGGATGGTAGGAAGGAACGGTTATAATTTTTTAAAACTATAACTGCATATTATTTTTAAATTTTTAAATCAAATACTAAAAAATAAAAGTTAATTCTATGATCCTGGAACTGCTACTGGGGCACTGCAGAATATAAAAGCATAGCTGAGGGCAAGAATCAGAAATTCCACCTGGGCTCAAATACTAACTTGCAAATCACTAGCAGTGTGACCTCAGGCAAGGTAGTAAGTATAAACCAGGAATACTAATAAAATCAGACTTACAAAGCAATGTAAAGTGCTTAGGGCTTTGTCTGGCCCAGAGTTGGTGGTCATAAGTACTGGCTATCATTTACGAATTGCTGATTACAAATCCACATATTAATCATGTGATCAGGATGGTGCTTTATGAGTGGAGAGTCCCTTGGGATCGAATCCCCAGAGGGCTCCCTTTCTCCTGGGAATTTCATACAAAAAAGTTGTTAAGCGCTCAGTGGCCTTGGGACTGAATCCAAGGACAATAAGCACAATAAGAAATGGGGCTATTCAGGAGATGGCACATGGAAAAGTCCAGGGAATTAGATGAAGTCATGCCAAGTGCCAGCTGAAGAGAGACGTCAACACACACACATAGTCTTTAGTCTGGGGGGGATGCAAAGACCAAAGACAGTAAGTTGGCTGGATGGGAGGAGTTAGAAAGGTAGATGGGAGCAAAAGAAGATAGAAAAATATCAGAATTATAGACTGGGTAGCACAAGGACAAAAATGAGCAAAGTGGCATTTATTGTACACCCCTAATACACCAGGCACCTTAATAGGCTCTTCGTATACTTTTTCACCTTTACCTCTCACAACAAACCTAGAAGGCAGAGTCATTCATTCGCTTCATATTTATTAAGTACCGACCATATATACAGGTAGAAACAGAAAGAAGGATCCTTTGGCTGAAGCCCAATGAAGAAGGAAAGGGAGTATAAGAGATGAGGTAAGAGCGGCTGGTAGGGGCGAAGGAAACAGGTGAGATCTTATACAGGGATTGGCGTCATATTTAGTTAAACAACAGCAACAAAAAACCTTCTGTGGCAATTATGTAGAGAATTCCTTGTAGTGAAGCAAGAGTGGGTGGGTATAGCGAGGCCAACTACAGGGCTGGGTTTTCTATATATGAGAACTGAGGGTCAAATATAGTTTAGTTATCTCACCAGCTCGGCCATGCAGTTACACAGAAAGGATTCCACTTTAGTGACCTGCTTTGATATATTGCAGGGTACTTATGAGAACTTGGATGAAATTCTGTAGATTTCTCAAACTGTTGCCATTTCTTTTGCTTCATATAGGGCCCACTATCAATGCAATTAATCAGTCAATCAACTATTTACAAAGCAAGGTATGTTGATGCTTCTTGTAACTTCACATGTTCCCCTCAAATTATCTCCATTCTCACCTGGCTCCATGGCTGGCACTAGCTCAGGAGTAATGCTGCCCGCCTCCCCCAACCTTCTCCCCCTACTGGCCTGGGCACCTTCTCCATTCTCCACATCTGCATTGCCAGCAGCTCCTCAAGTATTGCAAATGCATACAAAGCCCAATTCCACACCTTTCTTAACATATCTGATTCTAACCAAATTCTGATTTCAAATCAATCACTGTTCACTCCATCTTCCCACCTAGAAACTTGAGAACAGCAATGAATGTTTCCCTCTCCCTCATGCAGTCCAAAATTCATTTTCTCTTAACCCCTCCTCAGCTCCAATTTCTCCTACTCTGAAATCATGACCAATTTCTGTTGATGCAACCTTGAAAATACCTCCTCGAAAATTCAGGTTCCATTCTCTCTTCTCACCACCTAAATCAAACCCTCAATATCTGGATACTAAATCATTACAATGATCTTCTTAATTATTCCATCTCCCTATTTTAGACCACCTTCCACAGAATTTAAGACCATTCCAAGAATTATTTTCAAAAAAGAAAAATATAGTTATGTCACTCCCTCCCCTTGAAGACCTGCTGGTTCCTACAGGCTGCGGGATCAAGTTAAAACTTCTAGCACTGGCACACAAACTGTTTCAAACTCTAGCATTAGCTACCTCTCACATAGCTCTTCTCTCGCAGGTGCTCCTAAGCCATACACTATAGATATACAGACCTTCGCACATTTCCCCAACATATTCTTTTCTTCCATAATTCTGTGCTTTTCTAATTCACTCTGCCTAAAATGTCTCCCTTAACCTGCAACTGCTAATTTTGCTGGTTACTCATTTAAGGCCAGATAAAAACAGCCTGGTCACACAGGCACACTCAGCCTTCATGATCTGTCACAATCATTAAAAACTCCCAGAAGGAAAGTGGGTGCTCACCGTAAATCATGTAGTTTAAAACAAAAGAAAAAAAAAGTCTAGGCAGCCTGGCACAATGAAATTCAGTTCCCTTGGCACATCAAATAACCTTATCACTTAGCATCACAGGGAACATTTCAAAACCCAAGTTCCAAAAGCCAGCCAAGGGTCAACCCTGCCAGCAGACTCAAGCCTTCCAAGTTAACCCTTTCCTGCACAAAAATGTCTAAGAAAAATCCTAGCATGAAATGTTCAGGTTCTGTAAGAACAGAATTTAAAAATTAATTGAGGAAACTAAGAAGTTTTTGGCCAAATAAAAGCTACATAACCAAATTCTTGAGTAAGAAGCTTACACATTTTATTATAAATATACAATTTCTCCTCAAGTTAACTTATAAATTTAAAACAATCCCTTCCTGCAAACCAACACACACACACACACACACACACACACACACACACACACACACACACACACTTTTTTTAACTTGACAAATGATTACAAAATTCAACTGGAAAAATAAAAATGTTT